AGATTGACATTTTAACATTTACAACTGGCACAAATAAAAATATTCTGATAAACTCACAGGACATAGCCGAGAACACCGATGGCCCACATGTCCGTGTAGAAGCCGACGGGCTCACGGTCCACGATCTCAGGGGCAGCAAACTCTGCCGTTGCCGTGGTGACCTTGACAATCTCATCAGGGTTGAGCTTGGTAGCCAGCCCAAAGTCAATGATCTTCACGCTGGAGGCTTTCTTTGTCTCACACATAATGTTCTCCGGCTGAGGGAGATAAGAGAAGACATGGGTAAGATAAGATAAGACAGGACAAGATAAGATAAGACAAGATAAGATAAGACAAAAAAGACAAGGCAAACCAAAATAAAATAGATAAGATGAGATAAGGTAGGGTAAAATAAGTTAAAGTAAGGTAAGGTAATTTAAGTAAGGTAAGGTACGGTAAGGTAAGGAAAGGTAAGGTATGCTAAAGTGAGGTAAGGTAAGGTGTGATAAGACAAGATAAAATAAGTAAAGGTAATGTAAGGTAAGGTAAGATAAAATATGGTAAGGTAAGATAAAATAAGATAAGGTACAGTAATTTAAGGGAAGGTAAAATAAGGTAAGGTAAGGTAAGATTTATTGATCTGCAATACACCAGAACAATCACTCAAGAACAGATCACAATGTCATATGAACCACCCTTGCAAGATTAATAATATTTATGACAGAGCAGCCAGTGGCCAGTGAGAAGACCCACCTTGATGTCCAGATGAACAATGCTGTGCTCGTGCATGTGCTTGAGCCCCTCACAGGCCTGGCGCATGTAGTTGATCACCTCAGCCTCCGACATCTTGTAGTCCTCGGCCGCGATACGGTCAAACAACTCTCCTCCCGACAGGCTGTGAAGGAATTAAGTCGTCATATTTCTATGGATATTTGTGTCACGGCGTGGTGGAACCAGGCGCTCGTCAAGTTTTTCGGCATGTGGAGTTATTGGTATCATCTGAAAACTGATTTATTTGCCTTGCTTCTAATGAAATAAATATCCGTTTATCTTGAATAGAAGTCAAGATATTTGCAACTGAAGGAAATGAGGTCGCCAAGTTTCAGTGGTGAAATTAGCGAGAAAATGGGCGCCAAAGTTTGGTAACCCCAATAGCTAAAGAGTCTTTGAAAACTGAAAAATGATATATTTTGTTCCTTTAATCAATATTTTTCTGTATAATTCACAAGGAAATGTGTTTTTTATATGGACTGAAAAGAGGTTAAGCCAAAAAAATAGAAATTAAATAAAAATTCACAAACTGGCGGAAAAATGCCTATTTTTTTCAGATTTTGTTATTTTGACGAGCGCCTGATTTCATCATGCTGCCTCACATTTGATACATCTTATATGCAATTGTCAATAAAAACATATCACATTTGCCTTAGACAGGGCTTGTAAATGATAAAACACAAAAAGGACAACTTTTTAAAACTTCACTGATTTAAGAGGTGTTACCTGAGGACTATCTTTATCTTTAGGAAAAACTTGGACTATACTCTGTCAGCATTGATATGAAAATATTAGACAAATTCAGGGAACATTTTCCCACATGATTTCCTTTCAAAAGAATAGAGCGGCCAAGCTCTGTTGATTTACGAGATCTATCATGTTCAATTTTCAGTAGCACACGTTGAAGAATCTGGGATTTGAACTGCAGAATTAAATAAGATACAGTCTGACATGTACAAAGTGAACGGGCATTACATAGCAAAACAGACACATAGTAAGCAGACTGTCAGGTTCTGAATTTTTTCTTGTATCTTACTTTAATTGTATTTAAAACATGTGTATAGCGGAATTTGTAAATAAAGAACAGATTTCCTCATCCCGCCAATTTAGCTACGTATGCGTTGGACTACACTGCTAGTTTTATGGCGCTCGCAACTGCATAAGGTCATATGAGCGCCAAGGGGTGAATGTCAACAGAGAAGTCCAAACGGGGAATCGGGCTTACTCTGCTCACCTCTCTAGTTTAACTATTAAGGCACCCCGTAAATAGCAGGTCACAAGAGAGTGACAAACATACAAAAGAAGTAAAGGGAAAATGACGATAGTAAGAATTAGGAAAGAAAAAGCAGCAGTTCCCCCTATGTTGTTCCGGCACAGTATGAGCATAACATTGATAAATCAGCCCATTTATAATTCTCCTGTGCAGAAGAACATGTTAATATCCCCCTATCTCTAAAAGTTTCTACGGGAGCACTTACAACTCAAGGATAAGGACCATCTCATATTTATCCTTGAAGGCGTCATGCAAGTTAAAGCATCTACATAGTGGAATTTGTACATTATGAAAAGATTTCCGCATCCCACCGATTTAACTACATAATATGTGTTGGACTGTATTGCTTAACTCGTCCTATCTTTAAAAGTTTCTATGCGAGCACTCACAACTCAAGGATAAGGACCATCTCGTATTTATCCTCGAAGGCGTCGTGCAGGTTGATCAGCTTGGGATGATGCAGCTGGTTCATAATGGAGATCTCGTTCTTCACCGTGTACTTGTCCAGAGGGTACGGCGTGTTGATGAACTTGGCCACAAACACGCGACCCGTCGCTTTCTCCACACATCGGTGAACAACTCCGAAGGCACCGCTGTGTCAGACGAGAACAGATAAGACAAAATGAGATACATGTTTGACATAGTAAGACAAAGCATTTTCTGTTCCTACAGGCCTATCCTTTCTAAGCTTTTAGCGTTATTTTTTAATTATAGTTGTTCTGTGCCTACGTCTGAATGAAAATAGTCTGTGTGTGTGTGTGTGTGTGTGTGTGTGAGTGTGTGTGAAGGTGTGTGTGTGTGTGTGTGTGTGTGTGTGTGTGTGTACATAAATATATATTGCATGAGAAGAAAGGAAGTAGTAGGAAAGGTTTTTGAAAATGGGTATTCCAATGTAAAGCTCATGGAGCTACTTTTTTGGGATATGCGCTATATAAATGTTATATATTATTATTATTATTATTATTATTATTATTACATGTACTGTTCATATTTCATTTACAGAGTGCAGTAGACACACAATGTAAGAATATGTTGTAAGTTTCTCTCGTACAAAAGCTGTGGGAAATGAGCGCTTGTCTCTGTGTTTTAAAAATTGAGAGTTCCAAAAGTACTGTTCACTATTCTTTCTACTGCTACTTGAGGTCTAAAGATTAATATTTACTTATACCTAAGAGTATAAAAAGCAACCAGGTTGACAAATTTTTCAACACCGGAAAAAACTTTTTCTATGGCATTTTAAAAAAATGAGACGTCTTGGCATTTTTCCAGCTGTTTTCATTTACATCATTGGTAAAATCGAGATGTACAAAGTACGTCATTGGTATATTTGAGGTGTATAAAAAATATTACTGGTATATCTGGGTTATAAAAATTATATCATCAGCCTAACTGGGTTGCCACAAGAACAGACATGTTCTTTCTCACCTGCCCAGCTCTTCCAGAATGTCGTAGTAGTCGTAGACACTGCCCTGTTTCACCTCTACCGGCTGCGGCACGTACTTCTTCCAGATGTCTTCGTCTGAGAGGAGGAGAAAAAGACACTTTCTCTCATATCTCAGAACTAAGTATTACATTTTCCACAAACACTGTTCACTATCAATCTTAGCAAATTATGAATGACAAATGGTCGCTTTAAAGCATAAGGGGGCTATCCCCAAAAATGCTGCTTTGAGAAAATCGAAGGTAAAGTTTTTGACCCTTGTTCAGTATCTTTAAAAGTCAAAGAGAGCTTTCTCTATAACCAAACAAATATACACACCAATGAAACCAAACGTCTCCTATAGGTAGGGAAATGCCCACTTTTGGTGTAGGTCAAAATTTCTTGAAACTCTCGAAATCTGGGTTAGCCCGCTTGTCCTTAAAAGCAACCAAATAATTCGGGCTAAAGGAAAATCATTACTGTGGAGGGAAAGGATTCTCCCAAAGATAGCACTTCTTCAAAACACAATGGAGCAGTTCTACATATAATAATGGTAATCACCTTACTACCAGGGCTCAAACTTGCATGTGATTATGGTAAACAAACAAGACAATAGATGAAAAAAAAAAGCAAAAAAGGCTGAACTTGGACACAAATATACACAATAAAACTGAAAAACTGACAAGTTATAATGCTAGAACAGAACAGGACAATAGTAAGAATGTAACGAACAAGAGGGTGAAAAAATGTCAGGCAATCATGTTAGAAAAGAATTGTTCATGTTAGAAAAGAATTGGACAATAAGAATGGAAAGAAACATGTATGAAGAAATAATCTAGTTTATCAAGAAAGTTGCATTATCTTTTGAGGTTGAGCATACCACACCAGAGCACCTGCCAACCACCCACGAGCATACTTACAGAATTTGTCGTAGTCGTTGATCTTGGGTCCATCGTACTTGCCTCTGACCTTGCGGCCGAACTCATCTGAAACAGTCAAAATAAACAAAAAACACTTAATAAGGGAATACGTCTGACAAATCTGTCCCATGATAACAAAATATGTCTTATAGCTAGCAACAGTATAACAAGTTTTGTCTGTATAGCTTCATGAAATATGAAGCGAGCTGACAAAATGAGGTAATTCTCGGATTCAAGCCATACGGAAATAGTTAAATCACGCTTATAGGTGAAATTTTTACAATTGATAAGTATGAAATAATAAAAGACAGGTTACCGTTTAAGAATATGGCATCACTAGAAAATCTACAAATTTGACCCTGATTATTTTTGGCCAGTATATCCATCTGTGGATTGCAAGATGTAACTCATTTTGTCAGCACGCCTCACAAATAATACATTAAATAAAAGGGGTTACTCGTACATGTTGTTGTTTGTTGTTGTTGGTAGTGATCCAGTAGCATCTGAGCGTTAACTCTTCTGCATGATGCCATTCGGTAATAGCTGCATGTCTGTTCTAATTGTTGTCTTGAGGAGTAGAGGCAGTTAGATGTGTGGGGTAGTTTGGGAAGAAAACATGCCCTTAAATCAGTTAGTTTTCTACAGAAGAACAGATGATGTTCCACTGTCTCTGAGGGGTAGTCACATAGTGGGCAGGCAGCAGACTGCTTCACTCCAATTCGGTTGAGATGTTGGTTGAGGGGTACATGTTGTGTTTTAAAAGAGGTTACATAAAATACTAGATGTCCCAGCAGTGACGTCACATGCCTCAGACATATAGGGGCCTTCCACCCTCATAGGCATGGCCGGCGTGCCCCCATTTTCATGAACAATCTGAGCCCCCCACCACGCTCCCCACGAGCTCTGGTATATTTTTAAACACCACCCTGCCCCCCCACATTTCAGTGCAAGCTTGTAGATTTCCTCCCTAAGACACTTATTGTGGAGGAGAACAGTAATTATCTTAGACAGGCGGACCTCTTGTTCAGTGTCATTTTGATTTTTTTGAAAACCTCAAGGAGGAAACTTGGGAAGTGGTAGTGTGTACAGGTGACTGTTTGGACATGTGACCTTCAGGGCAGATTCCCCCTTTCAATCACATATGTGTCACAACGCGATGGAATCAGGCACTCGTAAATTTTTGAGCATGTGGAGTTTTTGTTATCATCTGAAGCTGATTTATTTGCTTTGCTTCCAATGAAATAAATATCCATTCATCTTTAATAGAATTCAAGACATTCGTGATTGAAGGAAGTGAGGTCGCCTAGTTTCAGTGGTGAAATAGCGAGAAAATGGCTGCCAAAGTTTGGTAACTCCAATAGCTAAAGAGTCCTTGAAAACAGAAAAGTGACATATTTCGTGCCTTTAATCAATGTTTCCCAGTAAAATTCAAATGAAAATGTGTTTTTATATGGACATAAGAGAGGTTAAGCCCAAAAATAAAAATTCGATAAAAATGTCCAAACTTTGGGAAAAATGCCTGTTTCTTCGATTTCTGTATTTTGACGAGCCCTTGATTTCACCTCGCTGCCTCACATATGTTATCTGACCGTCCTTATCTATCCCTTCCCCCCGCTCTCTCCTCCCCTCCACCCCCGACTCTTACCTTCCATTTGCTTCTTCTTCTTCACAGACTCTGGTTCTTCTGTCTTGATGGGAGCGGTTGGCTCGCACGCGTCACTGCGACCGTAGAAGTTGTCGGCCAGAACTCTGAACGAGTACTCTTTGTTTGGTGACAGGCCGGTTACGTTGTGGAAGTTGAACCTGGAAGTTGGTCAAAGTATAAGATTTTCAGTAATTGAAACAGCATCAAAAGTGGCAACACAGATCTCTCTCTCTCTATCTCTATCTCTCTCTCTCTCTCTCTCTCTGTTGTTATCAGTTGAACAAATCAGTTGTTATCTCGACTAAGATAAATACCGTAATAATATAGTGTAAAGTGCATAGAGCTTGCTGTAGAGAGGGGGTATGCGCTATACAAAAGCTATTTTTTATTTATTAGGCCTATTTATTATTATCTCCCCACCTGGTAGAAGCCACACGGAACCAGTTCCCGCTGGGTGGCTCTTGGCGTTCCACGACGTACTCCGTGATGAAGCTGCCGCCGTCATTGAGAGGTGGTTTCCATGACAACACAACAGAGTCGTCGCGGATATTCTCCACCACAGGGAACCGTGGCGCATCAGGACGATCTGAGGAAACGGGAGAGTGTGTGATGTTTTAGTAAGTGTTTTACGGCACTTGCAACACAATAAGGTCATATACGTGCTGAAAATTAGAGGTGTTACAAGAGAGTAACAAACACATACAAGGAGGAGAGATAAGGACGATAGGTGTTTGATAGGAAAGAAGAAGTAAACCACACCAGAGCACCCACCAACCACCTACAGAGAGTGTGAAGTGGGTCAATGACTGATTGAAAGAATGAACGAAAGAAAATAAGAAATATAGAAGATACTAAAAGTTAGCTTGGAAGGTGAGAATAACACAAAAAAGAAAACAGAAAAGGCTGAACAAAATTTACTAAAAATCTCGCAATTAAAAGACTAATACTTCAACTATTAAACTATTAAACTTAAAATTATACTTCACCAACAATCAGGCAAGTAAAAGGACAACACTGTGTGAAAAATTTGGCAGGCAGAAGCAGGTAAAATACAGAATAAAAATTAATTCTCAAGGAATCCAGAAGTCTATAAGAACAAAGAAATATAAAACAAGATACTGAACACTTGTTTTAGTATAATATACATTCAAATTTAAACCAGATATTTTTTCTCTTTTCTTCCTATACATCTATTTCTAAGGGGCTGCAAGGGATTCCAAAATATGGTTGCTTTTAAGCACAAGGGGGCTATCACGAAAAATGCTGTTTTGAGAAAATCGAAGATTAAGTTTTTGCCCCTTGTTCAGTTTCTTTAAAAGACAAGGAGAATTTTTTCTATAGACAAACAAACATACACACCAATGAAACTAAACTTCTCCTACAGGTAGGGCAATGCCCACTTTTAGTGTAGGTCAAGATTTCTTGAAACCCCTGAAATTTGAGTTAGCCCGCTCGTCCTTAAAAGCGACCATATATAAAAGAGTAAACAAAAAAAAAAGAAACAATAACGAGACAGGCACAAAGATAGGCATAACCAGCCAAGTAAGAAGCAAAACATTTTTTGATCACATATTATTTCCCGAATTCCCAAATTCTAAGGAAAATATCTGTCCCTGTGGTTTTATGCACCCCGCTTAATTTAGCAAAATTTGATCATTTTTTGCATAATATCTGATTATTTTCCTTTATCAAATGGGTAACAGGGAAAGATCAGGGAAACGTAGCTTTTTTGAGAGCATCCGAGCAAAGGAATAAATGGAGAATCATGATCACCGATGTCTGTTGCAGATCTAGCACAGGATGATGATGATAATTCTTTGTGGAAATTAACAGAATCGCATAATTTCACATTTTTGGGCTCAGTTTGTATAATATAAGAATTTTTCTTCTTGCATATTATGACGGGTATTCCCTCTACGCCTCAAGCACTGACCATTGACTTGTACTTTGAGCACGGCTGAGTCGTTGCCCAGCGTGTTCTCCAGCTGCAGCCGGTATGGCCCGTCATCCTGCTTGCTGGCATCCTTGATGGTCAGGATGGCGTGACGGTCGGTCACCTCCACGTGGAATCTGGGGGGAGTACAAGTTTAGGATAAGATAAGATAAGATAAGATAAGATAAGGTAAGGTAAGGTAAAGTAAGATTATGCAACCACAGTACTTTCTTGTCGCATGTGACTTCTTCTTAAGCTCACTCTTTGTTATGAACTGTTTTCATTGTTATTAAAAACGGAGATACGACAAGAAAGCACTGAGGTCGCAATTAGGTAAGACAAGACAAGACAAGACAAGATTAGATCAGCATCATAACACCCTTGACCTTGACCATCAATGATTTATTTAGAGGCACCTGCCCTCCATGTCCAGGTGCTGTTTTAGCCTCTCTTTCTTGTCTGTGGATTAATATTCTTTTTTCCAATTTATTGGTTCTGCTTCCATGCACCCCATATCTATGGTTCTCAACCTGGAAATCGCCCATTATTCGCTATCATACCACCCATGAGATGGCAAAGTGACAAATGAAAAGAAAAAACACAATTATTGTTGTGAAACTTTCTCCTAAACTGCATCTAAACCCCTCCTACATACTTCTTCTTCCACACTAAGTTTCTAAGAGTCAAACTAATTTCGTCATAAAATAAACATAACTATTTTTTTGATCAGTATATTCAGATTGCAGAACCAAGTCACCAAGAATGTGAGGTTTCCTAGGCGAGCATTGCTTAGCAAAAAGTCAGATAAGCTGTATGGCAGTGTTTCATGCAACACAAGATTTGCCTACCTCATGGGGCACGATTTAAAACCCCCCAACAAACCCAACATGAACTTGTGAAGGGGGCTGACAAAATGAGTTACTTCTCGGATTCGAGACCTATGGAAATAGATATGTCACGCTTATAGGTGAAGTTTTTACAATTTATAAGTATGAAATAATAAAAAAAAAGGCTTATTAAACTTAAAGAATATGGCATCAATAAAAAAAATGTACAAATTTGACCCTGGTGTCGATTTTTTGGCCAACATCTCCTTTTGTGGATTGCAAGAAGAAACTCATTTTGTCAGCACGCCTCACACTTTTATATATAGACTGACCTTGACCCCTTGACCTCTTCGTTGTCTCTGATCCATTTCACGGTGGGCTTGGGGTTGCCGTTGAAAGGAATCTTCAGCGTGACCGTCTCTCCCTTCTCGAACGTACAGATGTCACGGAACCTCGGAGGTACGTTGATCTTTGGTGGAGCTGTGGACAGAACCAGAAACATGAAGCCCACCATGTCTGTGTAGGGCCGAGATTTTAGCCTTTCATGTCCCCCAAAACCTGACCAGTTTTGGGGGAGACTTCCTGGCCAACTGATTGAGCACGGGTTTCAGTTTTCCCCTGTGCACTGATGAATGCGAACTAGACTGACCGGACACTGAACACTTAACGGGATATAAGAAAAAGCGTCAGTCCTACCGAGAAGACAGACAAGACACAGCAGTCACATGGCACCTGGGTACCCACTAGATCTACATCTTGCTACAAATCAAGCGTTGGAAGTGAAAGGTAACATTAGTTAAAACTACATCTGCATTATACAGAATTGCAAACTATCAATTGACAGATTGTGAAATAAAACAAAGATGGAAGAAAAAAAATGTGTTTCTAAGGAGAAAAACCACCAGGTCCTAACATTATTACTGAAACTTTTAAATAAAATAACTGGTAACATAAGGATGAAAACTGTTTTACAGTTGCTGCAAATCGCATAGGACATGCTGAAGAGTGTGAATAAATACTATATAAAAAGCAATTATTATTATCTTTATTATCATCACTATTACTATCGTTATTATCTATTATTATTTTTATTATTATTATAATTATCCTAACTTCAATTATTGTCTGGATCCAACACTGATCTTTCTAGAACCCTGGACAGACATTTCAGACCAGAAATGAATTACAGACAGAACGTTTTATTCTGGGCCAACGACTTTCATGTCAAACAGCCACCTATTACCCCGATAAGTGGTCAGTGGGTCAAATGGTCAGGCGGTCAAATGGTCAGTTGGTCAAATGGTCAAACGGTCACTCACATTTGATCTCCAGCTCAGACCTGGACACCCGGCTGCCTCCCCTGTTGGTGGCACGGACAGAATACTCGTCAGAATCCTCGCCGTACACGTCACGCACCACCAGGATCTGCTTGTTGCCCTCCGAGATTATCTCAAACTTGTCGTTGTCGAAAATTTCGCGAACTCCCTTGTACCTACGAGCAGAAAAGTTTCGTTTTAGTAAAGTTTTACGGCTTGCAAACTGCATAAGATCATATGAGCGCCAAGGGGTGGATGTCATCAGAGAAGTACAAACGGGGAATCAGACTTACTCTGCTCACCTCTCTTGCCTCAACAGCACAAAGTCTGCTTTGACTATCAAGGCACCCCTGAAATAGCAGGTCACAAGAGAGTGACAAACATGCAGAAGAAGTAGAGTAAAAATGACAATAGTATGGTTGAAGAAAGAAAAAGCAGCAGTTCCCCCTATATTGTTCCGGCACAGTATGAGCATGACATTGATAAATCAGCCCATATACAATTCTACTGAGCATAAGCACATGTTAATATCCCTCCTTTGGAATGGCCTAAAGAAACTTCAGTCTGTAGCACTGCCGTGGGGGGGGTTGCATAATGGTGGACACAAACGATAAAGAACAAATTTCAGAAACAAAGGCAAATATTTTATAGTTATCTAAAATCCAAACTACATTTTATTTCCCTGATATTGACTTCTACTGATTTACTAGACATAATAAAGTCGTTCAAAAGTGTGACTGATAAAGTTTGTTACCTTCTGTGGGGATATAATATAGAAGGGTCAAACTGTTGGGCTCATACTGCCATCATTCTTACATATTGTGAGGCGTGCTGACAAAATGAGTTACTTCTCGCAATCCACAAGTGGAGATATTGACTAAAAATCGACATTAGAGTCAAATTTGTAGATTTTCTATTGATGCCATATTCTTTAAGTGAAACATGCCTTTTATTATTTCATACTAATAAATTGTAAAAGCTTCACCTATAAGCATGATGTATCTATTTCCACAGGGCTCAAATCCGAGAAGTAACTCATTTTGTCAGCACGCTTCACTTTACTAATAAAAGGCATCGTTACACTTAAAGAATATGATATCAATAGAAAATCTACAAATTTGACCCTAATGTCGATTTTTGGCCAATATCTCCACTTATACTTTGGCATGGGATGAGAAAGGCTGATGATGATGATGATGATGATGAAGATGGTGATTTTTTTGTTTCCTTAATAGGCCTGGCGGACTCCGCGAAGAAATCTTCGAGCGAGAGCGAGGCTCTTTTTCGGCTCCATTGTCAATATGATGATGATGATGATGATGATGATAATGATGATGATGATGATGATGATGATGATAATGATGATGATGATGAAGTTTTCTTACATTAATACATTATTTAAGCCAAGAACCGAACCCACAAACTTTTTATTTTCAAGGCATGAAGACGGAACATGATATAAAAGTTAGAATAATGACAAGTACGCATCAGCTCACCATTGAATGTCAGGCTTGGGGTTACCGGAGACCTCACATTCAAAGCGTGCAGACTTGCCCTCCACTGCTTGTACCTTCTTCAAACCACTTGTGAACTCGGGGATCTCAGCAGCTGTAGGACACAGATGTCACAGAATTACTCATACAAATTGTCAGTTGAAGTGTACAGTAGTTCAGATTTGATAACAGTCAAGATTAACATTTTGACAGAATTATTCCCTTTGGACAATGGAAACATAGATCAGTAGTAGGAGAAGCAAACTATCTGTCCCCGAGGCTTTATGCAAAAATAATTCTGAAATTATGCAGACTGAGCCCAAAAAATGTGAACTTATGTGATTCTGTTAATTTTAACAAAGAATGATATAGAAAAACAATAAAAAATTATACAAAAACTGATCAAATTTTGCTAAATTATGCAGGGAGCATAAAAAACCCCGGGGAAGGAATTACATCAAATATTCAGAATACTTATCAACAACAACTCTCTTTTTCTCCCACTCCACACACTCCCCCCCCACACACATGTACAAAGAGATACTTGGAACAATAGAAAGAGTAAAACTTCAACATAAAGTGTAATGCCTTCACCTATCTTAATAACATTTCATTTTCAAAAGAGAAACACATAGCTCTAGATGTAAAGGCATGTGGTGAAACAAGAAGAGGAAGCCTGCTCCGCTGACATGGCCTAATCTATCCATTTTGTGACCCTGAGAAAATCCAACAACAAGAGGTGGCGCTATAATAATAAGAATATTAATGAAGACAATTTCTATAGCGCCCACTCCTGTGTAAACACAGCTCTAGGTGCTTTACATCAATGCATGTACGAACAATATTCATTCACGTGACATACACACACACACACACACATACACACACACATACACACACACATACACACACTCATACACACACTAGCTATGCTAGAACTGACCAGTTGTTTCCTTCGTTTGTTTAGTAAGAGTTTCATGGCACTTACAACACAAAAAGGTCAAACAATTCCCGAAGATTACGGGCTTTTCAATAGAGTAACATACAAAGAAAAGAAGAGATAAGGATGATAGATATTTGATAGGAAAGAAGGAGCAAACTACACCAGGGCACCTGCCAACCACCCACGAGCTGTTCTAGCACTGACCGTTAGGATCCTTGATCTTGACACTGTTGCAGGCCATGGAAGGTTTGCTCATGCCGGCCTCGTTCTCGGCAAACACGCGGAATTCGTAGCGGCGGTCCTCGATGAGGCTGGAGATGTTGATCATGTTGGTAATGCAGGGCTGGTGGTTGACGCGGGACCAGTTGTCCGTGCCGTGCTCACGCTTCTCAACCCAGTAGCCCAGGATCTGTGAGGGAGAAGGGGG